CCTTCTGGCTCTGCACAGCTCCTGACAGGAGCCTGGAGCTGGGGGGGGATCGGGCTCCTCTCTGAAGGAACAAGTGACAGGAGAAGAGGAAACACCCTCAAGTTGCACCAGGGGAGGTTTAGACTGGACATTAAGAAAAATGTCTTCCCCAAAAGGGTTGTCAAGCCCTGGAACAGGCTGCCCAAGGAAGTGGTTGAATCACCGTCTCTGGATGTGTTTGAAAGCTGTGGAGATGTGGTGCTGAGGGACATGGTTTAGCAGTGGACTCAGCAGAGTTAGGTTAATGGTTAGACTTGATTTTCAAGGTCTTTTCTACCCTAAACAATTCTATGATTCTGTGATTCTATATATTTATTAGTGGGCTTGGGTCTGATGTGTTGTCTAATTTTTTTAATTCCATTATCAAGCTGTTGCTCTCCCTGCAATGCTGACTCAAAAACACTCTAACCAAACCCTCATTCAAAGCTGTGCTCACAACAGCTCAGCAGCCTGCCCCCTGATAAGCCACAGCCCAGGTAACCTTGTAAGAGAATTACAGTTTTGAGGACCAACGTGTCTCTTTTGCAGATATTTTTACAGACACAACATTTTATTGTCTTCCAGCTAGAGAGCAGATGTATTCTGATGTATAAATCCTTCAGCTGTATAAATATGTACTATGTTCTTCTAAAAATTGACTGGATTTTGATGGATAAAGTAATAGTTTGAATTATAACCTACCTGGAGGGCACTGGCTGCAACATTTATTTAGTCCTTCTTCATAGAATTCAGTGGTGGGATCGTTGCATTGTGTCAGCTGTGGTGTATAGGGCAATGAATATTCCTAGGAGAAATGAATGGAAAATTGTGAGTCATGAGTCAGTTCTGACCGTAAAGGAGAAGTTCAGAGAGACAAACACTTAAGGATCAGTGCAATTATAAGCAGCTTCCTCTCCAAGGCACTGATGTAGGCCTGATGAAACAGAAAGCAGCAGATGCCAAAAAGCTGAAGGGGAATGCACACCTTATCAGCTACTTGAGACCATTTAGAGGTTCCTCTGCTTTTCTAAGATCTGTCACAATGAACAAGGTGATTTCTCTGGATTTTATGTTCAAAAGAATGCAGTGGGCTACGGGATTAGCATCACAGGGGTCACTACTGCATCCCCTAAACCTGAGGGTTTTTTACCCATCTAAGTACCCATTTCTCAGTTGCTGTGACTCAAACAGGCTTTGAAAAAACACCAGTGAAACCTGAATTCTTAACTGTGGGTTTGTGGAGAGAAGCACTTTCTGCAAAGTGCCTATGTTAAAAATGGTACCTGATACCTTCTTACTTAGTAGGTCTGCTCCCCACACCCATTCAGAGCCTCATCTCAAAACTAGAAGATTGACTTTGCTGCTTACAAATCCCTCCAGGCCTCTCATGCTGGTGGAGAGGGAGCTGTGGGTCCCACCCTACTGCAGTGCTTGATGGAATCTGTTCTCCTCAGCGGGTGCAGAGGACACAGGACACTGCATTCTATTCTCTACTGCACTTGTGCTCATTGCACCCTCACACCCAGGCAATCCCCAGGCAAGGTAACCCACCCCTTCAGCTGGAGAACCCGTACTGTTACAACTGTTTCACCAAAGGAGAACAGGCTTTTAGCATTCCAGATACCTTGTGTTCGTGTCTGAACGAGCCTTGATACTTTGAAAACAATGTCTCCAAAACCTGCACTGCTGCTTCTGAAAAGGAACAACTGGCTACAAGACTTAAATAAAAATGAAAAAAAAAAAAACCTATCTCATATGGCATGTCAAACATCTAAGAAACAGCCCTGAAATGTAGTGTAACTAAGTTTCAGCTCAGCGACTTTCAGTGAACAAGTATCAAAATATTTGAGGACCTACCCTCTGTTTTCAGCAGGGAAAATACACTCACTCAAAAGAAAAAGGGTAATTGTAGGTAGTACAAGCACAGGACTTTCCTCCAAGTTCAGAAAGATGCTGTTAAAAAAGTGACACTGCTCAGTTTTCTGCAGTCTGAAGAGACTGCTCTGTGTATAATCTACACTCATTTAGAGAAGTACTTTACAAGCATTATTAAAAAAAGAAATCAAAATAGGAACAACTCTTTGGAGGCCGGTAATGAAAATATCCTTCCTCCTTACTGAAAAAACATGCTGATTATCTATTGTGTCTTCACATTACTGACAAAGTAGACTAACACTTCCCACTCTCAACAATAGCTTCAAGGGAACCAAACTTTTATATTTTTATGCAGCTTGTTGAAATATTTTACATCTTATCTAGCTGTATATCAGAAGCAGGATTTCACCCATCTACTCAATGGTCAGTGTCAAAAAGGACCTTTCCTGAGAATGTGAAGGCAGGGAAAAGCTGCCTTGAGTTCCAATATTCCTTCCAGAAAAGAAGAAAGGGCAGCAAACTATTTAAGTAGAAGTTTCACTGCTCATAGGTGAAACACAGTGAAAGCTGGTAACACAGACCAGACGTCAGGACAATCCTGATCTCTTCTGATCAGCCAGTTCAGTTAAAGACTCAGAACCAGGGAGACTAGGGATGGGTTTCACCAATACCAGCCCCATTCTCCCACCATGAGATCAACCATCAAGTTGCAAACTGAAGAACAAATGCATAAAGATGCTTTTAACAGGTTAGAAAGTGTGATGGGGAGGGGAAGGATGACAAAATCAAAAAGCATTCTCCTTCTTAAACACTAGAGCAAGTGAAGGAAGAAACAGCTGCTGACCACAAGCTGCATTTTCCAAATTCTGCTCTTTGTCTTTTGCTGAGGAGAAAGCTGGTTTTGCAAGAACCATGCTGCAGCCTCAGGTATCTCCAACATCTGTTTTGACCTCCATTTCTGCTTTCCAGTTAAGAAGACCTGTTTAAAGAGGGCTTGCACAAGGACTGAAGACTCTGAAGCAAAACTAAAAGGCTGGCTTCAACATTATCAGTTTTATAATTATTAATGAAGATAATAGCCATAATAAATCAAAAAGAAAATCAAGGCTTTTGAGTACCTTCTAGGTTCAGTAACAACTGTTAATGCTGGATTTGGTATTACAGCCTCATAGGATGGGCAGCAATAAATCCTAACACCTGCAAAAGTGAGCTGACAGAAATCTGGTGCAGGAGAAGAAAAGGGCTCTGCTCTCAACAAAAGGACTTCGTATTTAATTGACTTTCTTGTTTATTAAAAGAAGAAAGATCAAATGTCATCATCACATTTTTGTAGTCACTATGATCAGCTTCATTAAAACAAGAACTTAAAATGTAAAACTTCATTGCAAGAGCAGACACAGTAAAGAAAAAAAAAAAGGAGAACTACAACAAACCACATCACAAAGGATCCTGCTCTGAGACTTCCTGGCAGAGACTGTTCTTACCTCATCCTCTGCACTGTCTGCTGTAAATACTGCCCTGCCAGTTGAACACACAGGAAAAGCTGCTGGGTGCTGAGTTCACCTGTTTCTCTCAAGTTGTGCTTGAAAGGATCTCTCTGCTGTCTGATACAATCTCCCCAGAAGTTTATCTGATGAGATGCGGCTCTCAATGGGACAATTTCTTGCCTATTGTCCTCAAAGAACATAACAGAAAACTAAAAGTGACTTGGAACTCACTGGGATACAAGTTGTACAAGCACGAGCTTGGCTTTGTTTGTAGTGGAAGGATGCCATTAATTTTAGGAGTTACTTCCAGTGTAAACTACTTTAATCAAAGCTGTCAGGGCCAGCGGCCAAATCTCCTACTCTGTCAGAAAAAGCCTCTTACTGGGTCCCTCAGGCACTTCTTGGCTACAAGAAGACCCCACTTTTTCTGGCCTTCTCACCAATTTTAAGGTCTGAGTTGGGCACTACAATGTTTGTATCTGGCATCCAGATCTGTTGGCTACTTGGAGGTAAAAGACTGGCAGGTAGCAGCCAGATTCTGTTCCACAGTCTTTGCATTTTGTTGCTGTTTGTGTCTCTCCTAAGTCCTTATTTTGTCTTCTGCTTTTAGTGTGATTCAGCTTTCCGTAAGCAGATTGTGTGAAGGAAAGCTAACCTGATGATGCATCTTTTGTATTATAGCCTTAGAACGTCTCAGATTAGGGAGCATTTTCTAGTAGCAACAGACTTTTATTTTTAGGGATAAAATTAAGACTTTGGAAGATATTTGACAGGTATAAGTAGAAGTAAAATGCCTCATCTAACAAACAGCAGAGGGACAAACATTATCAAACACTAAATTTAGTCTAGCTCTATGCACATCAATCAAATTAAGCAATATATTTCAGCATGGAAATGGGCACAATGTGCTTGCCTTTGATTACACAACTCATTAGGGAGAATCCTCCAATGTTTGTGTATTAAGCAATAACTAAGAAGTTACACGCAGAAAGTTAATGACTCAAGACTCTCTCTGCAGACTCCCTGCATTGTTTGAATCTTCCCATCTGCACTACAGACACCAGTCGGTAGGTGACCTGATCTGTGACTGCTGAGGAGTGGGCTAACAGCAGTCGCTGCACCAAGAGCTTGGCTCAGGTTCTTCTCAATACATATGCACAAGCACAACTGTTTCCAGGACTCCCTGTATCCTACCCACTGGAACATAAAACTAGTGGAGAACTTGCCTGTGTCTCCTGATTTTCAGGCGTGTCTGTGCTGTGTGGAGCAGCACTGGAGAAGGGAAAGGGCCCCCGGGCTGTCCCCTCCCACACAGTCGCACGGACGCCAACCACAACTGAGGCTCTAAAGCCTGTACCAGAGCTGGGCCAGGAACTGCAAAACAAGACCTGGATTCAGACTGCTTCCAAACCAGCAGGACCTGGTGCAATGCCCCAGCCTGGCTCACCCTACTGCTGAGGAAGTCCAGGTCTCGACTACTCACAGCACATCACAATGTAATGTGTTGCCCTTGTGCTGAAGATTCGTTATGGTGAACATAAGTTCCTTTCATTCCTGTTTTACAGTTTGCTCCTGTATCCCTGGACTTCATGTGCAATTACATTTAAGTATCTTGAATAACAGAAATAAAACATTCAAATAAAGTGGACAAATAGATGCATTAATCCATTCCCCTAACATTCATTTTCACTCAAGGAAGCCATTTAAACAAAGATATTTAAGCATACATTTCAATCCTAACTCACGAGTCTACTGTTTTATTGGTCTCATTTTCATGCAGTTGCCTCCTTCAGAGGCAAGCTGTCAAACAGAGGGTCTGAGCAGGAACTGCCTCTGCTGTGTAACATTCCTGACGCACACGAAACCACAGTGAAGTCACGGAGGACTCTGACATAAAAGTCTGTTGCTATGGAAAGGAGTTGAGGTAAAGAGGTACCATTTGCTGAGCTACCAAACCTGCTGAAGACAGGAAAAAACAGAATTCTGTTTAAAATATTTAAAGTGGACATTTACAAAAATAATTCTCTGAAGATCAGTTATCAGGTAACAGCAAGTGTCACTAAAATCAACTGGAGTTGTATCAACTACGCTCCAACCATAAAGCTTCTTTTAAAGCAGTTTTCCTCCAAATACGTCTCTAAGATTACAGGTCCACAATGTGAATTTTCTCCTATCCTGCAGCATACTTTATTTCTGTAAAGCAGGAGTGCTTGCACAGCCACACACAAGCAGATTTACAACGCCACATTCCCCCTCCTGGAGAAAACATTTTTATTTTTGCTTACATTCAGTGATTCCACTTTGCTGCCACTCACCACCAGAATATAGGAACTGTCTCCCAGACTGAGATGGCAGGAGGCTGCACGAAATGTGGAAGGTACTGACAAAATGCAGCAATTACAGGAGCAAGTCAAAGTTTGTAGGAAAACACAACAGATTTTAT